GACACACAATAGCACACGCATACAAACAAGCAGCGAGTGGCTGTGTGTTCAGTGGCAATATTATTAATGGGGTGTGTCTTGGCTGTCGTAAACATCTCCCAGCAGCACTCAGAGGAGACCGGCGCACAGCGACATCCCCACGTCTCTCTCCACTTAAGTAGCCTGAAGATTTCAGTAGAGCACCTTGCCTGCAGTGACTCCACAGTCCCAATTCCCTTCGTCTCTCTGTATCTCCGGACCACAAACTGCTCTATAAATCCCGCCGGCATCCTCATATGGACCAAATAACACTTCCTCTCGCTCTCTCTTTTCCCCCCTTCTCTCTATCTGTCCTTTCTCCTCCTCCTCCTCCTCCCTCACTCCATCTGCTCGGGTTGAAGGTTTGTCTTGATTAGGGGACTCTGCTGGCTGGCTCTTTTATCACTTGCAGTGCAGAAAGGCGCAAACTGGCAGTGGGCAAATGAAAACCCTCTATCTCCTTCTTGTGCTCAACGCCCACCTCGCTGGCCCCCACCTCACTGGCCCTCCCTTTCTTTACCTTTGTTGTTCTTTCCCTTTCTTACTTTCTCATCTTATATCCACTCTCCCCGTTTTTTCTCCCCCTACCAATCTTTTTCCTCTCTGTCTGTGTTTATACTCTCTTACATTTCCTGTCTGAGCCATTTCCTGCCTTTTCTTTCGCTATCATTCAGACTTATTGAGTTATTCACTCCAATCCCAGCCCTGCTCACGCAGGCTGTCGGGGCGAATGGCTACGAAAGAGAGCTGTATTCCTCCCCTGCCTTTTTCATGTAGACAATGAATCAAGCAGTCATCAAACTGACCCACACTACATACCAATGAGACTGTTTTCTCATCCACAAGACCCTCAGTAATGCCACAGCGATGCCTCCTGGCTCCTTTTGTCTTATGCAGTGAAGAAAGCAGCCGATAACCTCAAGTGAACGAGAGCTGCACAGTGAGTAGGGAGTGTGGGAGTGGGGTCTTTCCGAGGCTATGCTTTGACTGACAGAGGAACGGTATCAAAGTTAGTGTTTCGTCCCACGAGGCCTTCCTAGTAACTGTTTACTGTCTCTGCATCTTTGTTTGCCTGTCCCGGAGACGGGAGGAGAAAGGAAAAGACTGAACCAAAAACTGGCCGTTTGCCTCTGTGGTAGGTTGCGAGGCACATAAAGTAAGAAATCAGCATTTCACTGCTTTTCAACCTATCAGCAACTGAAGAGACATTTAGACAGTGAAAAGTTGGACGGTCTTCTTGCTTTGTTTCAGGGTAAAACAACATATTTGATGCCTGATTAGCTTCTGTTAAAAACTGTTTATATTAGCGTTAACCATAAATTGTTAGCTTGACAGTAAAGTCCTAGCTAATGTTGCTTTAGCCAGAGGGTCATGCAGGCTGATGTTATGTCTACAAATTCATTAGCTAGGAATTCACACATTTCTTTTTGTACTGTGTAACAAACCAGACGGCCACTTGAAGCCATTTCACTGCTTCTCAACTGGTAAAGATCTTAAAAGTCAAGTAAAAAGTTGGGTCTCCTGGCTGTATTTCAGGGTAAAACAACATCAGTGATAATTAGCTAATGGTAAACAACAGCTAATGCTAGCGTTCAACCGGATAATGTTAGCTAGAAAGTTAAATCCTAGCTAACAGGCTATTGCAACCGTGAGGAGCTCGTGAAGCTTATGTTGTGTTAGGTGACATTACAAAAGCTAGGAATAGATTTCACTAACACTAGCATACAGTTATATGAGTATTAGCTAACAGTTATTAGCTTGTTAAGTGGCAGAACATGAATGTTAACTGTACTCTGACCATGGCTAATGAGTTATCAAATATGTTGATAACTCATTAGCCAGCTCCCTCACATCTATCACGCCTCAACTCACAGCACCCTAAAACCATCACTCAGCTCCTCTGGGTAGTCTCTTCTTGTTGTCCTTTGGCCTTATCGCAAACTCAGTGGTCATTTTTTTTCCTTTTTGGGCCCCTTTGTCTTTTGTAAATGTTATATTTGCCTTAGTTTGTGTAGAACTTTGGTGAGCTCACTTTGTTGTTATGTGTGCTACACAAATAAATTGACTTGATTCGGCTTGACAAGTTGTTTATGCTTAAAGTATTCTAGATTTCCCTCCTGATTTCAGCGCCCATTGTTTTTTCATTTGCTTTTAAATTAAGAAGCAGTGAACAATAATGGAGTGTCAGAAAGGCCTACCCTAAGCTAATACGACTGACAACATGGAAAACAAGAGGCTTTTTGACAGCATTATAGCTCCCTTCCCTGAGCACGGCACTAAAAGAAAACGGCGTCCATGAGTAACGGTGGTCTACATGTATCTTACCATGCATATGTTTGTTTGTGTCAATGACAGGAACAAGTCCGTTCTTTATTTCTGTACCAGTAAAAATACTGATGTGACTAAGCTAAGTTTGGGTTAAAAGGTTAAATGCTTGATGCATCCAATAAATGTGTTCTGCCAGCGTGGATTTCACTTCAAAGTCACCTTCAGAAGGCGTGTATGAGTACATGACATGCGACTACAATACAGTAAAAGTTGTTGCAATGGCTGGAGCCTCATTTTACCTCAGTGAACATCAGCATCAGGCTTTTATTGGTGCTAAGAAATGATTAATTTTGACAGGTCGTCAGCTGCCTTTATTTCTAAAAGTGACATGATTTACTCTTGTTCTGCAAAAAAGCCCTCTGCTCAAATTTATTCATGGTAATTTGTAGCATACACATATCACTTAAGAGTCTATTTTTTACTACTACTGTTCAAGCTAGTCATTATAATGGGCATCTGTCTTCCCCCCTTATGGATCTTATGGTGATTTTTAGATGGAAGAAGACGGAAAAAGAAGCAAAGACTTTGTGAAAAAATTCCTTCTTCTGACAGTCTGGAGATGTTTAACACACCAGATTGTGCCCAACTATCAGTGCTCTCTCACACATAAGCACACTCATTATTGCAGCATCGTATCAGAACTTGAATATAATAATCCCCTACGTGGACTATTAGCTGTCTTATTTCTGTGAGTGGATCTGTCCATACGCTTCCTGCAGTTGGTTTGACCTGTAAGCCTTGAGTTCAAATTGTTCTGACAGGGTTTTGTTGTTAATAATAGATGGCTGAGTTCTTTTTACCCTGCAGCATTAAAAGTTCATCCAGTGAATCGCTGTGTTATTCTGTCAGTCATGGAGCGGACTACAGTATTTGATCTCTTTGCTGAATATGCTTCTTTATAATGTGTGCATGGGTAGGTATGCATCCTCAAAGGTGAGTACAGTAGAGTACATCATGCATGCACAGGTGCACTATAGAGTGAGTTTGAGTCCATAGAAGAATATGTGCGAGCCAGGTTTTTTCGGTCTATATGAGCACATTATTTATTTATTTCTTGGGACAACGCACATTAATCAGCATCACTGTAAATGTGCCAGTTCCAGCCAAAAGGCTAGCAACAGCTGTTGTTCTACTGGTGTGTTACGGGGACAAGTCTGTTCCTACGTTCATGTTTTGGAAACTGGCCTGACAGCTAGGGGCAAAAAGTAGGTCCTCACAAACTCTATATTTATTCTGGGATATAAAACCATAGGGGTATACCACAAAGCAAGTTCATCATACCCAGGCTTTCTTTGAGTAAGCAGGCTAGACAAAGCCTGAAGTTGAGGTTAAAGATGTCGAGTATCACAAAGCAATTTGGTTTTGAACTTTCTCCACCATAAAATGTGCATCATTTTAGTGCATCATTTAATGCTTCTTCCACACAAAAAAGGAATGATTGACTGGTTGATTATGACTGGTTGTCTGCTTCAGTCAGACTAAAAGAAATGAAAGGAGATGATGACACCTGTGGTAAACTGTGGACACCGCTACAGCGTGGAAGGAGAGAGATGCTGCAGAAAGTCAATGCGTTAACTCATATCTAGCAGGTTAAAAGGTAAACACCCCAGTTTTTCTGGTTAAGTACCAGAAAAACTGACCTGAAACAAACTGGTAAAAAAGAAGAACGAGAGAATGGGGGGGGGGGTTGAAGCAAAGTATGTGCGACTCTAATTACCCAGACTATTCCTTTAGCCGAGGAACTATAATGCCCACAAAGGTTATTCCCAGGTAATGATAACAAAATGGCACTTTACAAAACAAATTTACAAAGTGTGAAACACTTGTACAAAATTTGAGACAAATTTACATTTTGAAAAACATTTTTAAATTTTATAAAACAAAATTCCAAAACCAAAACACATTTGCAATTCATAAAACAAATTTACAAGATGTGAAAGCAGCGAGACAAACCAACCAATAAATTTACAAACGACAGAATCTTGACGGAAAGGGAATGTACCAAATGATGTACCAAAGTGACCCTGAAGTTATTGTCTTTAATTTTGTTTTGGCAGAAAGACTCAGCAGACAGTGATAGAAAACATCTTTCTGTCACCACAAACTCCGTAAATATTAAGGTATCACTCCGTATCAAAAAAAAGTTTTTCAAAATACAGCAAATTTAAAGCTAAAACTCTGAACATAAAGTGGTCTCCAGCAGGTTATGAGTTTAGAGGACGTTACCATGGTGATCAAGCCAGGTTAAAAAAGAGCCAGTTTCATGACACAAAGAACTCTGACTTGAGGCTCAACAGACGCTGCTTAGCCTCTAATCTCCCTTTGTGGTATACCCACCAGCTTTGTAAGAATGTAAATATTCTTTGACATGTGGGGGGTTTTGGTCAAAGGAAAGTAGTGACAGCGACTTTGATATGATGGGACGTTTCAAGTGTACAAGGTGCTCTACAAAACAGGAAACAAGAGAAAGAAAAGGACAGACTCAGCAGTATATAAAAAAGTTGGAACCACATAAAATAATGTTATGAGAAAAAAGGAGGATGCAAATAAGATTCTTCTTTAAAGTGGTCTCAAGGGAATGAGTGTAAGTCAAATCGGGGTCTCCCCATGTGATAAAATGAGTTTTTTGTGCGTGTGCGAGTGTGTTTGTGCACCTTCAATAGCGAACGGCTTCCCCACAGTGAGCAGCTTGCATTCTGCGTCGATGGAGACCTCAAAGTCCAACAGGGCTTTGTCCATAATGAAGGCATCCAGGAGAGGAGGATCTGTCCTTCACCACCGACACACACACAAACACAAACACACACACAAAGAGAGAGAGAGAGAGACATGCATTAATTGAAGATGGCGCTCTGCAAACTTTTGAAGACCTGCAAATCAGATTAACTTCGCAAACTGACTCGCACTCGTCTGACCTGTGCAGGAACTCTGTATTTAGGGCTGTCGTCCCACTCTGTCATTTATACAGAGGATGAGATTAACTGCATTCTAATACGCCGTGTAAACACATACATCATTACCTAAACTAACAGCCTCTGTGGCGGACTGATAAGGCTTTAAACACACTGATGAAGACTTTCCTGCTTCTGCTGTATCGATCCAATTGACCCTAATTGACCCCTAATTATAGACCGTTCCTCTGAAGCCTCTTGGCTGGCAAGAGATAAGTTACAGGATTCGAAGCAAAACATCCTGCATTTAAATACTATCCCTACACACAACAACAATCACTGATACTGAGAAACAGATACCCAGACAGCTAAATGAAGGCACCAGCTTTTCATTACACCAACATATTTGCACCCACACCCCTACACACACACCAATTAAAATGGCAGACAGAGACTAAATTGTGTCATATTGGAAAAAGCATGCATGCACACACGCACAGTCTGATGGAAAAAGTAGAACAGGCTGATCAAATTACCTGCGACTTCTTATTATTCAGGATGTTTACTGCTAAACAAACAAAGAGGTGGCTGACTTTATAAAGTCTTTGCTGTGCTGGCGAAGCAGAAAAGTCTGTTTTTTTTTTCTGTGCCTAGACCTGTCAAGAAGGAGGCTCGGGGAGAGGAGACGGGAGAGAGACTTCTTTAGGGACTAAAGACGGTCGGAAGTTATCCGATGCCTGGTCTTGGGAATAAAGTAGCGTGCGTGTGTGAGCGTGCATGTGGCATTAAAGTGTGTAAGGGTGGCTGTAAGTTGTAAGCCTATGTGTGTATATACATCCTTTAAGTCTATACATTAGTGCTCATGTGCAGCAGCATGTGTAGCCCTGGGCGTTCTGTCTCTCCAGGATCACTCTTTTTTTTTTTTCTCCTCTTAAGATTTGAGTGCAATATTGGGGTCAGTAGTTCTGCCAACACAGTATTTTACAGCCTCACTCTGCTCCCTGCACTGCTGTGACTCCCACTTCTGCTTCTCCCCGCACGCAAACAAACGAAGCCTTCATCCTCCCCGCGCTCATCCTCCTTCTCTGAACAAGCGCTTTGTATCTTTGCACTCGCATCACAAAGTCAGCACATGCGTTATCTCAGCATCTCTGCTGGAGCTCCACGGAGAAGCTGTGCGTGTGTGTGTAAGAATTGATGTGGTTAGAGCTGTGAGTGTGTTTTGCTGTGTGCGCTACAATACGGCTGTGTGTTTGTGCCCGGGTAAACCAGAAGAAATATGTTTTTAATTGAAGCAGATCTGATTTCCAGTCGTGGGAAGAAACTAAAAACATCAAGTTAGTAAAATACTATCTATTGGAGCCTTTTTAAATCCAAGGCTACCCAGTGCTCTAGAATACAAACATTACATTTCTAAATGACAATACAAAAACACTAATAAAACAGCTTATTCATCTATGATTTCTTTCAGATTTTTGGAATTAAAAAGCAGATTCGATGTATTGTGTTTTTCTGACTGACTTCCATACAAAACACCCATTGGCCAATTACATGACCCTAACCCTACCCTAACCCTAATCCATACATATATGCTCAAACTTCTACAACACAGAAATTGCCATAAACAGACTAACACAATAGCCTTGTGATGGTGGTACTTTAACTTAATTGAATTGTTTATTTACTTACAAAGATTAGTACAATAGATCCTTCCATCATCGGCTCTGATGTTAACAATTGGTACTTTTCATGTTAATTCCTGTATACGTTTGTTTGAATGTTTTTATTTTGGTCATTCATTAAAGAATAACAAGAGTCAAACATATTTGAGAAAATAGTCCACTTACAGAAATAGAAACAAACAAAAAACTTTACATGTTTACACTTGTCCATTTCACACAATAACATTCAAACAATCAATGACCAGAAAAGGAATAGGCTGAAGCTCAAGGCTTATTTCTCGTTCATAGGACCACTGTGAGTTTATCTAAGGTCATTCATTAAAACTTTTTTTTATTTCAGAAAACAATAAAATTAATGATTAAAAATCATCAAAATAACTGATGATTACCTGATACTAACATTACTTTATCAGCCTCTGAATTGCGCTGCCTCAACCTTTTCGTTTCTATTTTCTACTAAAACCCACAAGCATTCATTTTGGGATGAACTCCCTTTTGTGGCTATTACATTTACCACACTTCTGGGAAGGCTTACCACGAGATTTCCGAGAGTGTTTGTGCCAGTGTAGCTCTTCCGTAGCAAAACTGCCCAACATGTCTTTTATTACCTTAAATTACCTTCCCTAAACTGATTGCCTAAAAGTGCACAATAGCCTAGACACAAAAGTCTAGCTTTTGTGTCCATGTAGCCCGGTAGCAGTTACAGTGTAATGCTTAAAGCCTCACTCAGCTCTGAACGACCTGTTCTAATTTAGAAATGTTCACCCGTGACGAATTAATAGCGTTGGTTAGAGTGTCCATTGACTTATAAAAATATGGTGTTGGATAAAAAGTGATGTGTTAATAATCCACAGGTGCAAACATGATTGAAAGTCTAACCCCTGTAATGTGAAGGATAAATCTGTTTCTACTTAAGTCTTTCATGGAGGATAAATTCAGTGAGTACAGCAGAGGTCAGGCAGGCAGACGCCAAAGTGTGTTCACCCTCAGATGCTTATTATGAGGTAAGTAGAGAAATAGCAGATTTTTGTACCAAGAACAAAACAGGATAACATGGTGCAATAAATGAGATATGATAAACAAAAAATCGTATATATTGCATTAGGGCCTGACTGATATCTGATTTTTGTGGCCAATAACGATATCGATATTGGGCGGAAAAAAAAAATCTGATTCCAATATATCGGCCAATACCTTGCTTAGATATATGTCCGATTTGTAGAGCTAAGTAGATTTAGATATACACATTTATTGCGTTGATCCCTTAAATGCAGTTATCCAACACATTTGTGTTGAAAAAGATTTTTAACGAAGACAAGATGGTCTGTAACTGCCGATGTAAGTGCACCACCGCTTGAAACTCTGGAAGGTGATGATGCTTGTTGTAGTCCATATAGCACCCTCTGCTGGTGACAGCCAGAAAGCAAACTGCTAGTGTAATACAATGATACTCCAATTAAATGACATTTGAACAGTGAATACATCTAGTAATATTGGCACATTATCACACAGTATCTGCGATAAAATGAACTGATACCGATAGTGACTGAATAAGCTAATATCGGTCGATAGTATCGGCTGGCCGATTAATCGGTCAGGCTCTAATATGCATGTTTACTTTCTCAAAAGTGAATGGTTAAAAGGAAGCTCAAATATCTTTGTACTTAACCTAAAGATTCTCAGACGTTAAGTTATCTGGTAGCAGTCTGCAAACTATTTCAAGACTCAAAACGAACTGGAAAAGGCTGAATTTAACTGTCATAAAGCTGTTAAAGTTAAAGCTCCTTTGAGGAGTTTTTAGCTAATTAGAAACTGATTGAAAATAATATAGATGACTCTTAACGAGACCATCAGCGAGAGAGTGGTTATTAACATGTAATCCTTTGTTAATTAATGCAGCATGAACCACGGGGTAGCCGTCAGATAAAGTGATCGACAGCACTCTAAAGAACTGACCTCTGTTGACATCTTCAATGGCAAAGTTGAATTTTTTCTACTTCTTCTTTTGAAATGACCTAAACCACTTTTCAACACTCTAAACTATTGTAAATTTGATTTGTATACTCTTTTCAAACCCAGTCTCCCTTAAAGTGCAATCCTTTGTTGTATTCTTTATAATCAATTATGAAATATAGTTTAAACTGCCCTTGATAATAAAATGTGTTCTATAAATAACCTCGCCTTGCCATCTTGCTTTCATCCGAACACAATCCCCATTCGACTCCCGATTCAAACACCCATCCTCGTTTCTCATTCGTCAATTTGTCCCTGACCCTCATTCTATCTCTGCGTTCACTTTTAATGAACAAAAAATAATTTCCTCTAACAGCGGGGACTTTATTAGTGTTATGCTTTGTGTTCACCTCATTTCAACTTTGTGTTGAGTGTAATAAATCTAGATAAAGACAAGTGATGAGTATCTGATCATATTTTTTGTCTGATGAAACGGCACACGGAGGGTTTACAACAATAAGTAAAACAAACAACAGTGGTTTAAACACCAGATATCTGCAGGTGGAATAAACCAAAGGGGAAATCCCCAAATGAAGCTTATATTGAGCAATTGCCTCGTTTCTGGATAGAAAAGTCAGTTCGTACAAAGATTAATTACAGCGTTCCCAAGCTGGATATCAAAACATCCAAGATTTGAATTGATGGCTCCATCGGCGATTGATAAATGACTGACTTTATGGGCCTGTAGACATTCTGATGAAGACTTTAGATCCACATCAAATTTAAGGGTGTACAACTGGGGATTCAGAGAACATGCACAACACATCCGTGGTGTTTTTTCTTCTTCCTCTTCCTTTCTTCACTTTCTGTGTATGCCCTCCAGACTGTCTCAAGGTGATTTCATGAACTCTTTGCTGAACATTTTAAAATTCAAAATGAATCTTCGGTATATTAGGAAACAGCGCGCTGCAGGAATTCTATTTACGGGATGGTTTTCACGAGTATATTTTTGTCTCTGATGTTTTTGAATCTGCCATGTTTGCTCTAGTTGTCACTAGACAGAATTGCTATGCACGGTGCGCTGAATACAGACAAGCACAGATAACGGATGCAAACGTGACTGGATTGTTTAGACCTGGATTGCATTTGCCTCTTTATGAGCTCTCTATACATGTGCATAGTGTTTGTGTCTTACTTTAACATGTGTACGCCTTCAGGGGTCGTGGGCTGGTTGTAACGCCTCATGTAGTCGTGCATCTCCGGGAAGCTCTTCTTCATGTAATCTTCAGCGCTGCTCTCCCGCACCGTTCCAAAACGGAAGCCCATGGAGGGGTGGTGCAACTGGGAAAGTGACGGAGGAAGACACGGGAGGGAAAAGGAGGGGGGGAGAAAGCGGCAGATAAAAGGAAGAGGGAAGAGACAAGAGGGATGGGTATCATGATGGGGCTCATAAACTCCCTGCAGGGTAACGGATGTGGGAAAGTGATAATCCCGCACAAATAATTCCGCTCTTTGCTCATTAGCCCGTCCTTGTATGAGATTAGCTTGTACGTACATGTCGCTGTGGGTCTGTATGCGTGTGTGCTTGTGTGTATGGTGTGCCGACATGCATGCAGTTGCAAGTTTGTGTCCTTGTGCGCAGTCTGACCTTGTCGTCATGAATTCCCGAGACCTCCTCGAAGGTCTTTTCCCCCACCATGACTGCAGCTAGGTTAGCGGTGTAGCTGGACAGCACCAGTAAGCAGAAGATGGCCCAAAGGTTCATCAGGAAGCGACCGGTCCAGCATTTTGGAGTCTGCAGAGTGGAGAGATAATTTTTTTTTAAGATTATTATCTGGGTTTATTTTGCTTTCGTATACTGCTTTGAATATAAAGATTTATACAAAGATCAAAGAGAGAGGCGGGGGAAAAAAAGCAGATCTGAAGGATAAGGGAAGCTAAAAATACCATAGCTCAAAAGTGAAAATGTCACTATGTCAAGACAAAAAGGAAAGAGACTGACAACATGGAGGAAATAAAGATAACAAACTTTGTACACAAGAAAAGTAAAGGGACAAATGTGTCAGGAAATTTTCTTTCAGGTTTTGACATGAATGCAGAACCCCCCATTATCTCAACCTCATTCTCCTCCCTCATATTCAGATTTAACCCCTGACTAAAGGTTATCGGATTTATAACAACACAGCAGACAAGAATAGCAAATCTCACAAAGTGTGACTGTTTTTTGAGACACATCAGAAATATCCTTCCATGAAATTGCCTGCCTAGGGGACAGAATCCACCTGAACTCTGCGATCATTTATTCATCCTGCCAATTAAAATCCACTTAACAGAAGAAAAGAGGTGAATTTCTAGTGTTTCCGAGGCTTGAGATTAATGAGACATTAATTATACAAACAAGGTTGTAACCCATTATTACGAAGGTGTTTGGATTCTCCGCATAATGAGTGGGTGGACGAGGAGAAAAGGAGGATGGCATGCACACTTAAAGCACAAATTCTTCACTAATATTGTTTGGGGCAGCTTAGAGAATGAATGATGAATACATAATGATCAGTGTGCATTCACTGCTTCTATGTAGGTGTTTTCTCCACAAGGTTTTTTTTTTTTTATTATTTCACATTATGCCTAAATGCTACATCACTTATGCTAACACAAAAATTGTAATTGAAGTCCTGTCCCTCTCAGTAACCCTTGTTAAGCCTTTCAAGTTTCTCTTTCAGAGTTAACAACGATAAGAGGAGCATGCTAACAACCTGAATGTGTAAATAATTAAAGAAACAGTGGGTATACTGTGCAGTGGTAGACAAAAACAAGATTCTAACGTCAAGCCTGCCACATTTTTGCTAGCTAACATGCCAACTAACATGGCAGCTATTATGAAGCTTACTGTCAGTGGAAAGCTATCTATTTAGCTGACATTAGAAGAAGAAGAAGATATACTTTATTAATCCCTTTATTCATTACGGCAAGGGTAAATTCATTTTTTACACTCTGTTACTGAGACATGCTACAAACACATAGGCTGAAATAACCGGCGACACTCCGGTTCCAAATCAAGTCCCTACAAACTGAGTTACTGCCGTCCTTATTACACCTTTAGCACCACGTGTTGCACTTTAAAAGGCCTATGCCTAAGTTTTAAATGCCATTTGAACATTTCCAGCTGATATACTTTGAAACAACATAGAGGTGACTTCATTGTGAAAGAGTAAGCTGCAATCATGTTTAAAATAAAAATATAGCTTCATATCTCAAATGTCAACATTGTTGTTGTATAGGCTAGCAGTGTAGGGCTAGCATACTTTTCATTCGGCTTTATATATTATATTTGTGAATAACCAAGCAGCAACCTCTTGGGTTGAAAAATGAAACCAACGCAGAAGTGCAAAGAAACTGTAGTTCCTAGAGTGTCCACTGGAGGCTGGCTGCAAACACTCCATTACATTAAAATGATGATTTTGACATGAGAAATAACATGTTTACAGTCTGGTTTAAAAAACATTTTTGGTCTGAATAGCTCATGTTTTTATTGGCACACTCTCGGTGGGGGTGGATTTTATAAAAATGATTTGTCCTTTTGTCTTGATTTTATTAAGACAGAGAGTCCTGCTTACTTAGGGTAATGGTCTGACTGACAGGTGGGCAACTGCACTTCAGTCAGAGATTTAACTATTAATTGCCAAATTGAAACACAGTTAAACTTGGCACTGATGGCTCTGATTATATGCTCAATGGGTTAGCTGAGCAGCATGCCACAGTTTTCCAGGGAGCGAAGTGCTAAACCTCCCTGTATGAGGGGGCACCAAATGCTTTATAACATTGGTTTGTGTGTGATTAAAAACAATGATTCAGCCAGCAGGCCGTCAGCTGATTACAGCTGGGGTGAATAATTATCGTGTCCTGCATGAACATTTGTGAAGCGTCATATCTTAGTCTGACCAAAAGTTTGCATTTCTGAAATGGCGACTACCATCTTTAACCTTTAAAACAAGCTTCAGAAACCAATGGTCGATGTCATTGAGATTATGTCTATGTACAGTCGATGGGAAAAATGTCATGTACTATATTTCATTTGAACAAAAACCCTTTCTGACATCTCATCTGAAATTCCTTTTTTACTTTAAAAGGCTTCTGAGGACTTACAAATATGTTTAGCAAATACTGTGTTGTTTCGGGTTACTTTAGCTGGGTTAGCAAAAGTGCTTATCCAAATCCAATACAGAGAAAGACACAGCTGCTACATCATCCTCTGCTAGTATTCAGGGAGAGCTTCCAGAAAGTGGGGAAAAACCACACTGTGAATGAAAGAGTCTTGTAGAATTTTAACCAGACTTTTAATTTTACAAATTGATGAAGGTCAGGTTCGTAAGTGGCATGTTAATGTGTATCAATTAAGTAAGTAATGCTAGATTACAATAAGTAGTGCCAATGACTGGACAAATAAGTAAAACCAACCTCTACAATAAAGGTGACTCCATGGAAATATTCCTTATTAGCAGTCAAGCAATCCATTTAGTTGCCCACTGACTTCCCCATGGCCTAAATAATCATGACTGTTTGGCTCTGACCCAGAACACAGAGGTTACAAGAGTTGCTCAAGGGAATTTTAGCAGGTCACAACTCTGCTAATGGACAAAACCTTCAACAGACACATTTCCAGTTGCAAGGATCAAACCTGTGACCTTTCAATTATTGGAAGGTCTCTCTAATCAGTTTGCCTATGTTCAACCAAGTCATTTGCACCCCTTCCGTTAGGGACTAGGTTCGAATAAGCCTTTTAAAAAAAAAAAGTATTATGACTTTGTGTATGCTCCCTAAGCAGGGGAGGATAGATGAGAATAATTAAAACAAACGATGTTTGAAATATTTAATTTTGTGAGCCTCCATGGAAATTTGAAAAGAAAGCACAAGTAATCATAATGATTGATACTAGCACAGTGTGATGCTGTTTAAAAAACAAAGAAGGCAGAAAACAGTTGTTTTTCATCTCTGCTGAAGTTGAGTATGCGCTGTAATGTTACTGCGGGTGTGACATAATCAGTCAAATCTGACATTTAATATATTCATGTATTTTTACCTTACAAAAAGAAAAAAGGAGTTATTTTTCAATCTTCAAAGGATTGTTGTCCATCTTACAACATACTTTCAATGGACATATTTGCCAAAGTCTTTGGATTCATCATGTTTCACTCATTGCCTTCTCTTTCTAACCTTTGTTGCCTGGCCCTCCATCTTGCCCGCCCACCTGCCCTCTCCCCTTTTACATCATCGTCCATCTGCCCACCTCCACGTCAGCCTCATTGTGTTGCTCTTCTCGTCGCTGCTTGCCCACTTACCCTTTCAACCCTGTCTCACTATCTCTCTGTCAACCCTCGTATTACCTCCTTCTTGAGCCCATTTCCTGATTTGCCCTCTAACCTTTCCACCCCCCATTGGCTATCTTACACCTGCCTTCTTGTTTTCAACTTTGGTTCAGCCTACTTCAGGGAGTTAACCTCTACTCACTCCCTCTTTTTCCACCTTCATCCATCCCCATCATCCTCACCATAACTCCTTCAATCTCTGTCGGCCCACTTACCCTTTCCCCTCTCCCTCCCTGTATGTGCATTATCCTCCTTGTAGCTCCCTACTTTATCACTGCCTACCTTTTTAACCTCTCCCTTATCTATCTTTCTTGCTCCCGAGCCATTTCTATCCTCTTTCTCCATGCCTCTTTCCCTTCTAACCTTCTCTTTTCACTTGCCTTCACTGTTTGTGTAGATTTTCCCATAATGCAAATCCCCTCCTCTCTTTTGCTGCAATTTATTTTCCCTACCTTGCATGATGCCAATTTATCACACAGATGAGAGCTAGTTTACCTTGGTAGCGACAGTGCGTCCAAACAGTATGGCATAGCAGAGATTGAGGGCCGAGGAATAAGAGAACACTCGCAGCCTGTTCCTGCCGTGGGGTGTCATGCCGAAGGGGCTGTTCCACTCGTACAAGGTGAGAAAGAGCGCGGTGAGGTGGAGCGTGACAAAAATACCCACCCACATGGACCAGTGGAGAGGCCACATAAAGGCTCCAATTGGGGCAGCAGTGTCTCTGCTACGAACCTGGTGGCCAGAAACAAAAACAAAAAAATGTCAAGAAACTGGCTTGATGCAGCTGATTTCTATCTGCAAGTGATAGTGCAATTTGTGCAAAATTGTGATTTAAATTCAGCCTCAAGTTTGAAGGATCTTGTCTGTAAACTTTGCTTTAAACCCTCCTGGGCATAACAAGAAAAAATGCATAAAATGTTTTTATTATGTACTATCCATCATTTTGGAAGGACAAGCAATCTCTATTTCAAATAATGGAGTACTCATTTTCAAATGGAACCAAATTGTCAGATCATATTATGCACTGCAGTTTGTCAGGCACAGAGGGACATGTTAAGAAATCAAAGAACAACTGCAGCATGTTTGAGGACTCTATTAAGATGGCTTCTCAAAATGCTTGTTAAACTCCTAATAAACTCTTAAACTGCAGTTAAATTTGAACTTTCATAATTAAGGTGCACGGAAGATGTAGCAAACTAATTATTCACAGCTAATGATCTCCTATTCCTCAAAGCAGATTGGTTGAGCAGGGCAACAGGGTGAAATTAAGTGTTTGCAGACCATATCATCATACTGAAATAAAGTCAGCCAAAGAGAGAGAGAGAGAGAGAGAGAGAGAGAGAGAGACTGACAAATCAAAGAAACACTGATGATTGCAATGGTGTCACAATGCAGTATATTTTCGGGACATGCCCCACGTCTTGTACAATCATTAAAATACAAACTCAGAACTCCAACAAACTAATGATGACTTGAAGCAATAGTACCAGAATGCCCAGGCTGGTGGAGTAGAAGGGCGAGGTAAAATCAATGACTCTGCTCCGGGCAGAGTTGATGGAGAATGAAGTGACGGCCATGTCAGCTGTTCCACTCAGCAGGTCCCCGACCAGCCCCGTCCAACGTCCCGTCCCACTTGATGCGCCGTACTTTCCGTCCCCCACAATGTAAAGGTCAAAGGTAAATCCCATGTCTTCCGCAAGTTTCTCCAACAAGTCGATACAGTACCCATAGCAGCACCTCCTCAGGTCCTCTGGCAGGTCTGACAGGAAAGAAGAGATTATGATGTGAAATGTTTCCAGTCTGTTATTCATGCTCAAGAATTGTAAGTCCTGGGGTCTCACCAATAGGATTTTGTCCACATAAATATTGAAAAAGGATCATTGGAAAATTTCCATCCATCCTTTTGGGAAACTTCTTTATGAGTGTTGTAAATGACCCCTGCACCAAGGCTAGGAAATATTTTGTCAAATTAAAATGTAACAAATCCTTGATCAACTTAAGGCAAGAAAAAAAGTTGGCAAGCTGGACACCTTATGATATAAATTCTTAAACTTTCTGCCACTTTGATTTTCCTGGCAAACCTTGTTTTGCAAACGCAGTCAATACAGATTAAGGAGTATGCCAATCGCACTTGAAACTTGGCACAAGTCTGCCCTCGTTCTGCCAAGATAGAATATGGAATTTTGAGATCAGATATTTCATATTTATTGAATATTGAGAAAAGGGTACCACTGCCATGTATTTTGCAACTATGCCTATACTTCTTGAAACCCTAGATACTAAATAAAAGGTTCTTTCCTCAATGCAAATATGCACTTCAATTTGCTGTCTTCCATTTTCCATCCTCAAATTCAATTCAGAGAAAGTTTGGATGCCTTGTACTTCCCTGCTGTACTGCCGGCTTTGTGTATAATGTCCTTTGTGAGATATAGTGCCTGGTTTTTCTTTCTTGAAGTCATATTGATTTAACACCTTCAATGCTCATCACTCATGAAACAGAGCTTTGGCTGTAGACCTAAGCCCTAGACAATGGACTGGGAATACTTCAGTACTGGACTGGCCAGCCTTGATCCCTTATTGATTTTGGCTTCTAAAATTCACTTCAATCTTGAGGAGAAGCAACTGAAATGTGTCCAGTGACATAGCAAAAAGGTCTAAGACTAATGACATAGGTATCTGTAATTTTTCATAGATCTGTACTCATGAATGTCCAATGAGTTCCTGTGATAGTTCTTGACCACCATGGTCTAATAAAGTTAATAAAGTTTATCTTCATACTACAAAGGCTGCGGGAGCTTTTTGAGCACTTTAATCCATTCATTCTCCATGCACATTCGTAGTAGGTGAAGTTGTGCGAGAAAACCCAACTCTGATTTTACAGTGTTTTGCTACTCTGAGGCACACTCACCATGGAAGACCAACACCACATCAGCATTATCCAGTCTTGGTCTCATAAAGTAAATAAAGTTGATATTGATAATACATGTGTTGCTGGAGCCTTTTGACGTCTTCATAGTTCTTCACCACAACAAAAATTCAAAAACAAAACTCACCAATGCCCTCCCATTCTGCAGTAGTAGCGTTTGGGTTATGGAGCTGGTGGAAGAGGGCCTGGATTATGTCAGACCTGTTGGTTCTTGGGTCTAAGCATAGTTGACCCGCTGGACACAATCCATCCTCGTCCACCTCCCGTGTAAAGACAAATGGGTGTTCCACCAGTGTTACCACCCTCAGGCGTTGTCCCTCAACAGAAAATCCTGGCCTCCAGCGTCCTCCAATGTGACTATCCCCCTGTCCATCCCCTCCCCGTACCCCGGCTCCAAGACCTTGTCCCTGACTGCTTCTGAAGCCTCCCACCAGTCCCAGGATGCCTCCTTCTAACTCCAGCCTGCCTCGCGTCCACTGGCCTACGGTCACCCAGGCTGGCTGGCCAAGAGCACCCCTCTTCAGGCTCCATACATGGAACAGCTGGGAGGAGGAGACTCGAGATAGGCCAGCATCCACCTGGATCAGGCCTGTGGCCCCGGTAAAGGAAGTGTTGGAGAGAAACCTCAAGGGAAAGAAAGAGAAATGCAGATAATAAGCCAGAGAAAACAACATTTGGAAAAACTGCAAGATCCATGCTGGGTTATGACAGTTTAGAAATGTTGCCTGCAATCACAAACAACAGTTAATGGGCCATATAGAAAACCCAAGGAGAAAGCAAGGAATATTTTAACATAATGGTGCAATGGTATGGCTGGGTTGTGAAGCTGTTTTAAGTGCAGACTCAGATGGGTAATTTCATCTCCCAAAAAGTCGTAATTAAAAGTTAATTCAGAGCAGTGAGGGTCCCCTCCTATCTGCTTGCCCATACAGACAGTCATTGCTATTCGTCTCACTCGCCTGGTGACACCGTATTGGTCTTTACGGCGGAATGCATTAGGAAGAGCAATCCCCGTTCACACATAAATCTGCCCTGGCCTCTTGAACCGTGCAGGGATTGTTAGCTCATGTCTTTGCATTTGATCATACGGACATCGCCAGGTGCTGTCTCAGTATGAAGCCATACAAGTACTGTTTGATTATGTCTTGATTAGTCGTGAATTGTCAAGGGGTCATTGGAAATCGTATGGGGTGGGTGTTTAAATGTTAAAGTATGCAGGGATCACTGCATTCAGTATGGGTGCTGAACCGTGCAGGGACTGTTGATTATGTCTGGGTCAAGGCTAGAAATGGCAAGCTTTCCTTCCAGTTAATGGAGAAGGTTTGTAAAGCCTTTGCTTTTTTCTCAGAGCAGGAAAATCGCTTTTCTGTCTTGCCCTTGTTATATACTTTCTTTCTATTTTATTTGTCTCATCTCTCATGAAGTAAAAAGCTCAATTGATGAACACAGAATGGAACCTGCTGCTGAACCCCTTCCTCTGTAAAATATGGGATATGCAATGTAAAGTGAAAGCTAAATTGATCATGTGGCTCATTAACCACCTCTGAGGCTTGCCCGGACTGAAGTCTATCTGCATCACAGAAAAAAAGACATGAAATGTACGTCATGTTTTGTGTGCTATACTTGTGTTTTTTGTTAATAATCGTCCCTCTGATTTCGTTGAACAGCATAATATCAATTCATAAACCAATTCCTCGCACTATAATACTTTGAGCCTGATGTAAAAGCCTCTGATACCCATCTAATTCTGCGTTAACTTATGTTTCCTCATCAGCATCTCCCTCTGTCTCTGTGACCATAAAGTGCAAGTGCTAGCCTTGCCTTGAGCTGAAATCACTCATGGTAATAGCTCGGCTGAATCATCATATCCCATAGACAGCAGATTCATCAAGCACACCCACTCCAGACTCATATACTATCCTGTGGTGGCTGCGGCTGGCCACAAAAAAGTAAAAAATTACACTTAGGCTTCACTTCACGTCTCTTATCTGAATAAAAACTATGGAGCCACTTTTGTACAGCTAGTGTCATTTTCGAATTTAATGTCCAGAAATAGAAACATAAGATAGAAGTGGGAGATTATGCTGAGAGAAAGAGCATGGTTGTTAACGCATGCCACACTTCACCTTTTAGCAAAGAGTGTTTTGTTTGGCTGCATTGGGCCAGAGGCTGCAGCTTTTAAAGAATGACCCTGGGTGTCAAAGCAGGTTGATAAGTCAGCCCGTGGTGTCAGAGAGCGATGGCGTCCTCTCAATAACACCTGGCCTCGCTTTACTCACTCAGAGAGTAAATGTCAGCAGAGTGGCCCTTAAATGATGACTCCATAAGAGAGTCCCGGGCATGTGTATCACTCTGTTATCGCTCTATCTCCTTTGGTTTGGAGGAAAGTTTACTCCTTCTCACTTTGTATCTCTGGGATGATACGAGGTCTGCTTGTTTCAGTGGTTTTAATCTCTTCAGGGGAGATAAAATCAGCGTGGCAGGCGTGCCAAGTGAGATGGCATTGACTGACAGATCTCACTCTGATAACAACAACCCTCTATCAATTTCCCTCCCTTCTCTTCTTTTTTCTCCTGTTTCACATCCTTTCCCCACACAAGATTCTTCTTTCTTTCCGTTAGCCATTTCCTACTTCCCGTCTTTCATCTATGTGTTTGTCTTTGACCACTGTCTCCTTTCTCTCTAATGTATTTTGGGGAATAGGCAACCAGGGACTTTTTTTTTGATTCTGGACATTCAGAAGAACTACATCAAAGTGGCCAGTTTCTCATATCTTTACTCTGGCTCCCTCATACCTTCCCCACTTGCTTATATCTCAAGACATCCTCTCTCCTCCCTTGCCTTCCTCGCTCCGTCCCTTGGGCATTGAACTGTTAATTGCCTTTTCCATGTGGAAGTCTCTCACTTCCTGGAGCTTTGTAAAGGCTCTCTGGAGCATTGGCATGTCTGGCTGTTGCAGGGGAGGGATAAGAATCAGGGAGCACACTGGAGGGCATGGTGTCTAACTGGACCGGTTTGAATGGTGAGATAGAGCAACTGCTTTTATCAGTCCCTCACAGGCCAGGAACAAAGGTCACCAGCACTATATTAGGAAGGACTCTATCATAAATAGTAATTTCTGATAGCATAGACTTTGTACTAATTGAACCTCTACAGAGATAGTGACTTTCTCTGTTGTCCTGCTGAAGTTTCAGTGAGTTTGAACACATTATTTATTATTTTCTTATAAAGCTTTATGGCTTAAATTGAATGAATTAGTGTACAGTTCTAGGCTCTTTTTAGGCTCATTTGGATGTTTTTTAATTTAACCAAGAGAAAACCTGTTGACCTGTATATTGAAAATATATTTTTCAAGAGTGTCCTGGCCAAAATAGGCTACATTCTCACATTGACCTTGTTACTCTGTGATATTCAGCATATTTACAAGAAAACAATCTCTGTTCAGCCTTTTACCGTGCCGTGTACCGCAAAGTTAAGTTTCAGTTTGATATGATTGGCCTTAACTTGGAGTTATTTGATCGTAAACAGCGCATTCTCATTCAACAACGGCAATAAACTACTTTGTTGAAGTTGGAAACACATTATTGGACAGGAGAGGTTTAAAAATGAGTCAAAATTGACTTTTGTATTTAAACAGGACTCTAGTCTCTGGTTGTACTTCCTGTATTGTTTGCCCATCCTTAGTATTCCTTCCTAAACCAGACTTTATTGGGAACTCTGCTACATCACTGACACCAGTTTTTTGAAGTATGCCATAAATGTGTCAGTATTGTAGTCAGTTAAAGTCCTCTGTATCTCATGCAGACACTAAAGGATATTTTGTATGAGATTGTAAAAGATGGCCTTGATATAGTGTCTGTATTTGGCAAATTTGAAATGAAACAACGGATTCACAAACCGAATTACCAGACAAATTAAAATGTTTGGCCTTGATAATAGCGCTATAGATGATAGGTTAATGGATTGTTGAAATTGGCTTTAAGTAATCCACTTTGGTAAAGATTTGTTTTGATGCCATTATTTCCCCCTAGACACCATCAGTACAACTTGATGTATTCTTGCTTTGACATACAGAACACGCTCTACCAGCAACACATTGCTGTTAATGTCACAGGATATTTTACTTAAAACTGGTTGATCATCAGTGAGCTTTATGGTATTGGATTGGTGAATTTAATGGAATATCCACTTAAACCACTTTTTAGGCTGTATCAGAAGCCAATGTCACTGCTGGTAACGGAAAACGCTAACTTGTTAAATACACACAATATTTCATTGCCCGAAGTTCAAAAGATTTCAATGCATTTCAACTTTCATCTATGTCAACCTTGTCATCATACTAGAGAAAATATCAGGGCATTGCAAGAAAGTAGGCTCCATTATCTTGGGAACGCTACAACATAAAAAATAAATCCATCCAATTGATGAATTATTCAGCCTGGTCCAAAGTTCTGGACCGATTGACAGCCGGACATCGCTATGAAGTTAGCCAAGCTTCTAGTGAAGATGAAAATGAACAATCTAATCACTTTATATATAATAAACTTCTTTTCACCCTGATAATAAATGTCCATTGATATTGCTTTGTAGCTCAACTCCCACTCCACTTGATTCTGCCTCTGGCCTTCCATACTAAATTGTTTTGGCATCCCAAGGCTTTACTTAGCTCCACTAAGAGAGAGAACACTGTGAGAATCCAACTTGTGATTATGTGGGAGGTGTTGATGATCACTCTCAGCTGGCAGGAACTAGTGTGTGTTCAATATTTGCTTTGGGCCCCACTCAAACCACAAATCCTTCTATCACTAGTACTACATGGCTATAAAAGTTGGAACCATTCTGTTTATTCATTGCGCTGTTTCAAAAAATGTCCATGTCAACTTCCAAAGCGTAGATATTTGCTCTAGAGTGAGTTTATGGCCTTTTCTGATGTTAATGGTGCTTCAGTGCATCACTCAGCATCAGCCACATTTGGCATTAAAGGGATTGTAATTTTAGTAGTATGAGGGTTCTATTTTTACTGTGTACAAAACGTGAGGATTTATTTTTTCTGCCTTAAGTGAAAGCATTTGTGTTTGATATATTTCAATGCTTACATAGCATGCATATATACGTTATCATAAACCGCACCTTGACAGAGGCAGTGAAAGCTGTCAGGGGTCCTTATAAAAGCTGCAGGGATTGAAGCGGCAGCAGCGGAAGCAGCAAAGAGAAACAGGCAAAACTCTCTGGTGTCAGTCTGTGAATCTGTATGCCATAAAGACCTCCTCCCAACCCCCCTGTATGACAGCGCCACTCAGAAGGAAACACCCCCATGGTGCAGAGGACAGACAAGGGCAACAAACCAAAGCGTACAGTACCATAAGTGTAGCAAGCAACTTAAGAAAATATGCCAAAGTGTCTATCAGAAAGCTAACAAGCTTACAGACATTCCAAGGTGTGAACAGAGAATTAAATTGGTGTTTGTCATAAATTACTTGGTGATTTAAATGTCTGCACTTTTGGGAACTTTGCTGAGAATTTGTAAGTGACTTGGAGGCTGCAGGGTTTGTGGTCTATTTGAGATCCATCCCTGACCAGTCCACTAGTAATCCTATGTAGCCTAAAGCACTGCATGTCTTACATTTCTACATCTGCATACCAGCAAGAAGGTGCTGCTCAGGGTCTGGCCTGAATCTTGACCTTTAGCATGGAGTCACAGAAGAAATATTGCTCTCTGCTAAATTTGTGTTTAAGGGTTTGGTTGACCCAAATTATACAAACAGATTTAAAAGCCAAGTTTTATCCAAAAAAAGTCCAATACCATTTTTCCCTTACCCATACCAATTAGGATACCTGGGCTAAAGTATTGGCCCATACCAAGCAACTCTTTGTTTATAATGAAATTTAAAAAATACAGCCGCTATTCTATTATTATTATTATTATTATTATTATTATTAATAAACAGCTTTGGGTTACCGGTACTCCTACAGTTTGTATATAAGAGCTATCTTTGTTTTAAGACATGGCTCATATCACATGAGGAGTCATTTCCTAAAAATACACTAACACTAAGAGTCTCACTCACTAAGCTAATGTTAGCCGTGGATAGCTCTCCTGACTTCCTGTTTTTGAGTAATCCTATTCTTAACATGAAAACTGCCTTATTAAACATTTTGAGCATTTTAAATGATGTTAATGTTAAAACATAATTGAAAAACATCAAGCCTTGAATTAGTCACTGGAAAACACAGAGGGAGATAAAAATTTGCCTGCCTACATTTTGCTAGTTTTGACTGACACGACATTTTGCTAACAGCAGGGAGCGTAGTGCTAGCCGAGCAGTACACTGTTCTTCTCTGCTGCTATAAGGCATTAGCTGTATGGGACAGCCATAGAAAATACAAGTGCTGTTTAGTATAGGGTTTAGAAGAAGAAGAATCAAATCAATTTTGTGGAGGCTAATATATAAAGATATCAAATAAACAATACACATTTAAGACAGTCTTTGAGCATCCCTCCATTCTAATAAAAGTCTTGTATTTGACTTTTTCTATTTCAACTAAATCAAGATGCTCACTTTTATAGATGCTGCATTGGTTAAACATTAGTGTTGGCCGATATTGGCCCTTCTGACAAATATCGACCTATCAGAAAATAAGGTGGTATGCACTGATGTAACTAGCCAATTTCTGTCTTGCATCAATTTATTGTTGACAAGCGACCCAAACGCTTGTGCAGATGATGTCACCTGCAGGAAAATCTCTGATGTGTTTTCATGGTGAAAATATCGGCAGTGTTGCAGTTTTACACGGGACTTTGAGAGAGATCTGCAACATAAGGTTTGTATGTTATTTGTCATATATGAACAGTGTGTGCATCTACCTGGCCAGATATTGTCCTGAAGAGGGCAGCTCATGCCTGTTCGGTTTGTCGTAACAGTTCACCATGTTCTGAATCAGCGCCAAGTCTGGCCTGACCATGGTCGCCGCAGTGACCGCACGACCAATCAACTGCAAAGCATCCCTTATGTAGAAGCTGATTGGCTTACGTCCGACCTCCCCATAGGCCAACAGTCCAAGGGGCCCTCCGAGAGTGTGGAGCGAATCTGGTGACAAGGGATATCCCATAATCCACTGCAGTGCTGGTAGCGATGGAGCGAGGCGCTGAGCGGCCCGCAGGACAGAAGAGAGACACTCTGGGTCAGATCCCAGGAGAAGAACGGAAGAGATAGGAGAGGGGGAGCGCAGAAAACTGGTGGAGAGGATCTTCAAAGCCTCCTCTTCCCTCTGATCCTCCCTCCTCTCCTCGCTGGCATCCCCTCTTCTATCTCCGCCCCCAGAGATATGGGTCAAGTTGATGATATCCCATAAATGCCACGAGGACCCGCTGTGCGTCTGCAGGTGAGACAGCAATCCATCACCTCCTTCCTCCCACCCAGGGCAAATCACAGCTGCTCCTCCCCAGCTGTCCTCCCCCCGGCTTCCTCTGTCCCTGTCCCCGTCTTTCCCCTGCAGGACAGCCAGCAGCAGAGTGCCCAGGGTTGATGGAGGCACACGGGCGGACATCTGCAGGTGGAATCGGTTCTATGAAAGAGGACAGGAAGGAGGAGTAGGAAGAGGTGAAAGATAAAAAAAAGAGAGAAGTGAGAAAGTTACAGGGAACAACAGCAAAATGATTGAGGACGGGGCACAGAAGGGAGAGAGAGAAAAGGGAGGAGGGAAAACAGAAAACAAGATCAAAACAGAGATTAATAGATAAAGCCATACCCCAACACCTCGGGGCTGAATAACATACAATCACATTAAACGCAGCTTTTATGGGCGCCGGAGTGCTGCAAAACAATCCCTGTTGCTGCAATAATTCAGCACAACGATGATCAGAAGCAATCCGTCACATTTGTTCATTATCTCTCACCCTGAATAAGGAGAGTGGCGCTGATACAAACAAGGAGTCAATGATTCGCATCTAATCTGCAACATCACAGTTGGCTTGGCAAGACAACAGTAGCATCCACAGTTCATCCAGAAGCCCAGCATTTCCAAACCCCGCTGAAAACACTGGCTTGTTTCATACTGTTCCAAAGTGGATAACACTGTTGTCCTTGAATGCAGCTCACAGATGGAACTTCCTCCTCCTTCCTTTGGGGCTTCTTTCCATTTTTCATCCTATCAGTGCTCCAGGCAAGGTTGAGGAGGGGGATTGGGGGTGCTGCTTTTATATAGTGAGCCCAAAGTTAAGGTTAACGTGACTCAAGTTAAGATTCTCAAAGCTCGCCGAACTAACATGAAAGGAATGCACAACACAGTATGCCTATAAACACCCTCTGGCACAAATGCATACACATTTTCAACTTTTCCACATGTACATGCACCAAAAACATGCGCTTATAAGTAGAAAAAAATCAATATTGTTAATCTATGCAGTAACATTCAGTATGCAAAGAGAAACTTGTGGAATACACCGTCACACGCTCAGGTGTCCCTGAAGATATCTAAACCAAACTTCAACACACACACCCGCTCATTCAAATGGAAATATCCCACCCGGGAGTACAAAGTAAACAGAGCGACCCTCCGCCGAAAGACCTTGAATCCCATAAGAGAAAAGGAAAAAAATATATATTTGAGTGAAGTCTGCAAAGACATGGATGAATTAATGCAGCGTTGTCTCCTGGGAGAGTCGTGAAGGGAGAGTGGTGTGTGTGTGGGGAAAAGTAAAAATAGGCGTCTGTGTTTGAACTCAATAGGGGGTTAGAAAGATGGTGGAGGTGGAGGTGATGGCAGCAGGTGGCATCAGAAGAACAGAGACAGGAAGGGAGATGCCTGCTACAGGTGTGGGTATTATTCGGCATCTTACTGCCAGGTTTGAAGCTAACATCATGCTTGTTTTGTCAAAGGGCTCAGAGAGTTTTAAAAAAAGTGACAGAAAAAGGATCAAAAACAGAGCCCCAAGGCAGCTGTAGGAATTAGTGTGTGAATCTATAACTGCTCTCATCTCTACTGGGTACGATCCATCCATGACATATATCATTTAAATATTAATGTAATGCTAAATGTTAATGTATGCTCATCTTATGTTAATAACATCCACATGAAAAGGACTACAAGCTACAACATTAGACAGTCTGACTAGTCTAAAAAAAGCTGTAAATTATACTTTCAGTGGAAACAGATGGCTAGAAAACCAAAAAAAAGGAATCTTACTAAATATATCATTGTCAAATTAATCATGATCAAAATCATCAGGGATGCATCTCACAGCTGTGTCAGCTGTTTCAGAGCAGTACATTATTTGATTATTTCTCTCCCACAGACAATTATGTCTGACTTTTAATTTGCTTGACTTTGAGAGAGATTCTTTTACAATTCCATTTACATTTGCGGCGTTTAGCCAGCGCTCTTATCCACCGCGACTCACAACAGTAGAATTACTTCAAGAGTGAAGACGTGAGAATAATGACAAGAGCTCCCTGTGCCATTATAGTAGTGGTATTTGTAGTCGCTGCTGTTAGGAGAGAAAGCGAATTAGAGTGAATGGAGGAGGCAGATGTGGGAGTCGTGATGTGATTCTGAAGAGATAAGGAGATTTGAGCCCTTTTCCTTAAGACATGAGTTCCAGTCCATAAGTCGGGGAAGCACTCTGCTGTTTTCTCTGTTTTGAAGAAGGACTTACTCAAAAAGTCTGTGGGCAATCGAATGTGACAAGCACCAAAGTGGCCCCAATGAAACTTAGAAAAAGCACCTCGCTGGAGTTATTGCCTATTACAACTGCAGTCGCTTCTTGTCTGCATTTCAGTGTTTTGGCACAATTAATTCCAGTGATATATTAGGGCAATAACTCCCAAGAGAGCATTTTCTCCTGTGCTTAAAGGTACAAATGCAATTCAGTGAACTTTGAAAAAGTTTTTTTTAAGGATATGTGCATTAATAATAACACAAAACAGCCTTGCGTGGAAAATAAAGATAACTAAAAAAGTAGTAGTAACACAATCTTACAGCTCTGTTAATTGGAAATACTCGGAATATGTGAAGCATGGAATGAAAAATGCAGCCACTTTGTTCATTTAAATTTGCTAATCTGATACAGTGCAGCGGGATCTGACAAAACTTACATCTTACTGTAATAATAGTATCAGTATCAATAAAAAATCCAAACTCTCAAATAACTTAGGAGGGGTTCAAAATGACAAACCTTAGCATAATGGAGCATGAGAAATCTGTCCTCTCTGATTACACCTGAAAATTGCTTGATAAGTTCTACTGCTTTAAACATAATAATGATACGTGTACATCCTGCTGTTCTAAGCCCTCTTCAGTAAGTGAGACAGACAATGAAAGATTGAATTGAAGTACAAATGAGTATCATCAGCATAATAAATATGATTGACATTGTGATGTGAGATACCAGGTGGAGGCATATAATGAAAACCAAACAGGCCCAAGAATGCTTCCTTGTGGAATCTCCACTTGCAATCATGAGTCTCTGACAAAAAACCAAGGATGACAAAAATATTGGTTAGGTATCAGGGAGATCCAATAAGACCCACATATTTCTTCAGTTTTCCAAAGACAAAGTATGGTGACCAACTGCCCAAAAAGTTTGCTATTGTTTTTTGCGATTAAATTGACGAGTTATGCTGTAGGGTTGTCATTTTCAGCCGCCATTCTTAGCTATCCTCTGTTCCTTACTATTTGTCACCAGCATTGCGTTCAATGCACACTTGTTGTGCGTGTGCGTTAAAGGAAAAGCTTCTCTTTGGACTTTAATAGAGCCGTTTGTCACTCATTTTCAAAACAGGCCAAACGCTCTTCAATCAAACAATGACAAAATCCTACGTGTAGCATCCTGAACATTATCAAGAACAATGAAAATCCCTGTCAGTCATCACTCTAGCTTAATCCAGCCTGTCTGAAACACAAGCTGGCAACATCGCTGTTTATCCCTGTGACACACCAAAAATGATGTATATGCGTTTATGTCTGCATCCAAGCGAGAAAGCTTCCGACAGATATTTAAGTACACTGTGGCTGCCTGAATGCATCTGTGCTTGTTCCTGACAGCCTGTGCTGCTGCTTTGGGTCCAGGCCAACTTTGTAGTTGTGGTTATCAGGCATTTGAATTTAAAATGTCATTTTTTTAACAGACCTTAGGGAACCTGAGTGGAGTTTTGATCTCTAGAGGAATGCAGCTGGTAATTTTTTCATGATGTTGCTGTCTAGACAAGATAAAAGGTGGCTGTGCTGTCTAGAGCTGGAAAGTTAGCGGACTATTGGCAGTTTTCACAAACACAGAGTGTGTGAGTGTGTGTGAGCAGGGGGCAGCTACAGGCTTGATCCTGTCATCCATGCTGCTATCGAAGTCCAGCTCTGCTGCTCGAGTCAATCCTGACCCCAGCTGATGTGTTGTTTTTTTTAAAGTACATAGATCTTTTTCAGGCCTGGTTAGGAATGCAATAGATTTTTTTTTTCTGTGAGCTGCTACACATTTTCAACCTGTAATGACCTCCAGTGTGGGTGTTCGTGTGTATTTTTGTGTGCACTCTCTTATCTCCTCTTTCTATTCTCAGGTAAAAGCTTCATCTGCAAGCGGCAGGATATAAAGACTCTGAACTAAGGATGCAAGACAAGCACAGCTAAAAGGAATGTCAGCATTATTCAGATATGAAGCACAAAATCCATCCCCCTGTGCACACATCTGCAAATTAGGTGCCTTGAACTGAACCTCTTCTGAACAAATCCAGGGTTCTGTTTGATGCGCTGGCCCTTAGAGTTTCATGTCTCCAAACACTATGCATGTGCACAAATACACACAACAAAACCCTCACGCACAGACAGGAAACATACACACATACAGCCCGCGCAAACAAACTGACACACACACACTAAGGCGCCAGAGCAAGAACACACAGATCCAGTACAAACACGGCGCAGTGTGAATACTCGAGCGTAAACCCAGAGGGATCTTTGGGCAATGTGGAGTAAGCAAACCGACAGGAGTGCGTTGAATCAGAACAGGAGGTAGCAGCTCCCTGTTACTAAGCTCATTCCTTATTTAGGCCTCCATAAGTAAAGCATCGACACTTGGAAGGTTTGCAGCCGAGTGCACAATGCCAAAAACAAACAAAAAAAGGGTTCTCTGTGTAGAAAAGGGAGAACAGAAGAAACAGCAGCACCTGCAGTTTGAGAGCTTATTAAAAGCAAGTTGGAGCAAAAGCAAGAATCTGGAATTGTGTATGTGTGTGTGTATTTGTGTGTTTTGGAGAGTTTTGGCAGTAGCAAGAGGCTAAAGAGGTCTAAGATTTAAGCTGAATCTCTGCAAAAAGTGAAGAATCTCCTCACATCCTTCCTCCACTGCTCCAGGCTACAGATCTCTTTAACTCGCTGCAGCTTGAAATACTGCGAAAGCACTCTGCAGCCTCACTCGGGCTCAACATTGCACTCATGAATTGTTTTCACCCAGCACAGCGCAGCTGCTTCACCCAACCTCTGCCTGAGCCGGTGAATGGCTGCTTAGCTTTCCCATTCAGTCAAGAAACAAAGCTCATGGTCGGGGCAGGATTCCAAACAACAACACTTCACTGAAC